TACGGCTGAGGCGCAGCCGCAAGGTACAGCTTTCACTGTGCTGGCAGCTCCTACCATCCATCCCATCTGCCTACATTATACTGTATCGCCAGAAATAACACACCTTATCCAAGTAACAGTTACAAGGAATCCAGTGACAAGAAAACAGAAGGGAAGAAAAGCTAACCGGGAAGTATAGAAGAAAGAGACATTAAAAGGGAGGCTAGATGTGGATTAAAACCCCAACCCAGTCATAGCTGTTAGCAGGTTAAAATCCATGAATGAAGACTGAGAAATCAACACTGATGCAGGAAACATCCAGGCTGAATTGAGCTGTCCTTCAACCCCCCAAATTCATACTATTATTTATCAAAGCTTCTGGCTGATGAATACTCCCAATGGATATACAGAGAGAAGAAAGATCAGGAAAAGGAGTAATTAATGGCTGAAGTTTAGCATTGTCAGAATGGCTTTTGCTGCCAGGAGCTACCGAACACAGGGTAAGAGGTTAAGATCCAACCATTTGGTGCAGCTTTGCCTTCCCAGAATGGAGACTGTGCACCAAATACATGGTATGAACGGGTTTTACTAGGTTGGTGTCTTCCTACTGCATGGAGCAGCCAGTGAGTCATGGAGCAGACCGATTAGTGTACGACCAGTTCTTTCAACTGTGAAATGCCTTCATCAGCTCTGAAAAGGTTTTGTATGAATTTATTTAATCAGGAGACAGGGATACTTGGTATCTTATCTTCGTGTTTAAAAACAAAGGCTACAGAAATTTTTCCCTTCAGTTGGAGATTTTTCTTTAAAATACAAAAGAAAAGTTTAAATCCAAGAAACATTCGTATTTCAGTCCCAAGATGGTTTATGTCTTAGAAATCTCTTCATCCCCCGGCCACACTAGTGTTTTGTAACTCTAAGAAGATGATTTCAACAATAACAATGCGAAAGTATATCCCCAATTGCATACCACGTGGTCACGTATGTAACATACTGCACCAGTGAAGTACATCGGGTCAGGATAAAAATTAGAATCCTTTTTGCAGTGTAGTGTTGCATCTATTTCCCACCGCAGCCCAAAAAGAAATCAGGTCATCTCATCTCCACACAACACAGCAGACAGGACTTAACTGGGACAAGACATCCTTTCCTCAAGCTGAGATCTGCGAGTGCCTCGGGTGCCTGGCTGCAAGTCCTCTCATACAGGCACAGAGAGCTCCTTGGTTTCAGCTTGGTTTTCTGTTTGTCCTGAGGCTATAGGGTAAGCTGCTACACTGAAATGGAAAACAAGGCAGCCTGTTGCCTCATCTGAACAGTTTCCACACCTTCCTTTTATTGGAGTTCCCTCCACGTGATGTTTCTTATGGCTCTTTAGCAAAGTGGGATGATCTGACTCACCCCAGACTGTCAACCCTCAGCCTGCTTCCTGCCAACAGGTTGCTGGGTTCTTTCCAGACACCCATATTTTGAAATATTAGGCTTCAAAATGATCACATCATTTAGGAAGGAAGTTCCCAACAGTCTGAAATGGGGGAAGCTTCTGGAATCTTCTCCACCCCCGCTACCAAAACCTTGCCACACAACCCCAATACAACGTTTCAGGTGGCAAGACTGTGGAGGACTTGGTAGTAAGTGTATTACTGTCCCTGCAGTAACAGATACAAACTGAACAATGCCCTTCCTATTTGGGGACCTTTCCTGAAGTCACTCGTCATCAAACATGCTTAAAGATAGAACCAAGAATGACATTTTAAACAAACTGTAAATAAGCAAGTTAGCAAGAAACAGAACAGAAAACCCAAAAAAAGGTTTTAACTACCATCAAACTTCTTTCCTAGGTCTTAAACCTAATAAATGATGCTGCCTCTCAGGACAGGATCTTCAAATTAGCTGGCAGGAAGGCTGGAAACGCTATTTGTGCTTCTTCCAGCTTCTGTCCCCAGCTGTTTAGAAAGTTAATGCATCGAATGACATTTGCCCTTCTAGCTTGGCGAGACAGAAATTGCCCCTTCTCCTGTTTTTATTCTTAACTTTCAATGCATTCTGCACAGATGAATGTAGCCAATAGAAGAGATGTAAGTAGGCTAAGCCCCATTTTTATACAGCCATGGCATATAGCTTATATTACCATTCTATTTTTAAAGAAACAAACACTCCTCCTGATTTATAATCTCAAAATCAACAAGGAGACTTCTACAACATGTCATAGCTGATACAAGTATACTTTAATGTATATACATCTTAGTAACAGTGCAATCTCTGCTTTTAATATTTCAGAGACACCATACACAATCATTAATGGTAAGTCTGGTTAAACTGCAATTTCCCTCATTTTTTGAGAATGTCAGGCATTTGCTGCAGCACAGCACAGAACATGGAATTCTCTGATTTGTACCTTCTCGCTTTCTTCACTGCCTGCAAGTTCCAGCAATACTTTAACTGATTTCTAAAGCCATTTCTGTGTGTTTAAAAAAAAAGAAAAAGTATAGTAAAACAGAAGAAAATGTGACATTTTGCCTGCCCACAGATTTTTTTCTTTAGCTCAGAAAGGTAATGAATGAGCTTCATACCAGTAACTTCTTCATACCAGTTTCCTGCTGGCTTGGGTTCTCAGACCTCATGACAGAGAACTGTGCCATTTCTCTGATCTTGCTGTTTTCCTGAGCAAAATGACATCATTTGGAGCATATGAATTAAGTTTTAAAAAAAGAAAACAGTGATAATTGCCTTTTTACTCCTAACAACGGAAAAGGTAACTATAAATTAATGAAATAGCTACAGGAAAACAGTAATTATTAATAGTAAGAAGTCCATGTGAAAGCTGCTGAGTAATTATGAAGACAGAAACAATCCAAAAGGAATTGAAAAAAATAAAGTTTGTGGGAGGAGGGATAAAAAAGTGGCTGAAATAGAAAAATGCAAGTAAACAGAAAATATAAAAGAAAAACTAGGAGACCTGAAAAACACCCCAAAATGACACTGTACAGGAAGTTAAAAGTGAGCAAGAGTCATGATGTGGCCAAATATCAGATCAATGAAGTCTGCACACAGCATCATTTCATAGAGCAGAAAGTTATTATTTCCCCTCTTCAGGGGTCTGGTCACTACTTCAGAACATGATTTCACTTTTGGATTCCTGTTCCTGGGAGTATTTTTGTACTGGATTTGGCTCAGCTGATCAGAACAAATGCCATCAACTTCATAAAATAATGGTAATTATTAAGACATGCCTTAAATACCCAAACAAAAGCATGTTTTGCAAATGAAGGTACAGGATTGAACAGTGAAAGGTTTTCAAGGATTTTCAAGAACATATATTTGTCTTTGGTACTTTCAAATATCTGATATCTGATTTTTTTTAAGGTTGAGCCAGCATTAAAAGGAGTGCATAAATCATAAAAACTTCATATACTTTGAATACACAAAGTAATGCAAATGTTTATATGCTATTCTGTAAGTTTAAGCTATACCAAGAACTGAACTTGCAGTTTAATCTTGAAACATTGCACTTTGATACGCTATAGAGTATCTTACAACCAAATACAACCTTTAGTTAAAATATTTGTAGTTTAAATTGATTTAACAGCAAAACTTGAAGCTTGTTAGTTATAAAGTGATAGACAATCTTAACTTCATATGGTACGTAATATATATTTCAATTTATACAGCTTTTTAATCACATTCTTGCAGAATCTTATAAAGAATTTAAAAGTCTGCTTCAACTCTGTGCATTTTTTGACATCGATTAGTTAAAATTAATGAATCCTCTGAATGAATTCCATAGTAATGGTGTTTCCACCAGAAAACAGAGAAGTCTGGAACTGCTTTCAGCATTTGCTAAAACCTACTGCAGTGAGCAACTAGCGAAGACGTGCACAGGCAGCTAAGTTAGAAAAGGTGTATAAACCCCAGTATTTACATCTGTTAACAAAAATAATTTGGTTTTTAGAATGTACAGATAACTTACTAGAAAATCACTTTTTGAAAAGCACAAGCAAATGAAAACAGATTTAGAATAACACTTTTCCTATTATTTTTTCTAGAGTTTTTTTATATATCTGATTTATTAAATTTATAATATTGCTTTATGATATTGCAATATTAAGCTTATAAGACCTCGCTCTTTGTCTTCTGCCACCAATGATAAAGCTAGGTATTTCACAACAGAGGTAACATTCAGTTCTTCACTTACATTCCATTTTATTAACTCGGTACCTATCAGGTTATTTTTAAAATTCCCCTAAAGTAGAATATGAAAACCATTAGTTAACTGACTGTAACATTGCTTTAAAATTGTATTGCTACTTTAAAAAAAAGAATTAGTTTTTATTTTACGTATCATCTGAGCTCATCATGATATTTTTCCTGCAGCCAACTGTGCTGATTAAAAATATTCTTGAGCAATCTTGCGTAACTTATAAATTGTTTCTCCATCTGAAGTTGGGAGATGCCTCATGTACTGTAAGAAAAAAAAAGGCCAAATTAGTCACAAACTAACACTGAGATGCTACATATAAACATCAGACTATCATCTCAAACTTAACCTGTACATGTAATTTTTTATCAAAACTACTGAAATACTTTCCTTCAGGCCAGTGTTGAGTTTTAATGGAAGGTGATAAACATTAACTATTTCAAAATGTAACCTTGCAATATAAAGAATGATTAATTAAAAAGGGTTTAATAATCCTACAGTTATTTAAAGTTCAGGATATGAAAATTTCTAGATATTAAGAATTTAGAGGTAGCAGAGCACTTGTTGCATTTTCTGAAATTTATGAACTCTATAGAAAAAAAAATCTGTGCTGCTAAATTAAGAACAATAAAATTATTTTTATATCTTCATCAGCTGTGTTTTAAAAATGTGAAACAATGACCAAGATATTTAGATCCAAACATGTGAGAAAGTCTACATGCGCATATTGTGCCATGCTCCTGTATACAAGACATTATTTTTCTGTTTAAAGTAAGAAAAGCAAATCTGTAAAGGCAGTATCACTCCTAATTGAAGTTATAAAAGTTATGTACCAACATACACTGCAATCCCTAGAATGAAGTGGTGAATTAATGACTGCAGCAGACAGCATATGGCCATAATTTGCATGGAGTAGCTTTCTTGTAACATTGTAATATGCCTGTCACATTCATTACCCATACTGACAACAGGCTGCTTTAGAAAAATATTTTGTGAAAATTAAGCAGACAGTGTTATGACTGCAACTCAAGTCTTCCATAATGAGAAGAAAACTTGAAACACTGCAACTCAGACTATGTGGAAAGGACATCATATCAAAACCAAATGAACCAGTAACATGAGTACACGAGCATTTGTGTGCTACATGCTCCGAATCAACAGAATCAATTTTCCTTAGCAGATGTCCTTAATTTGAACTGAAAAACTGACAAAGGTCACACAATGTTAAGTGTTTATCATAGATCTGGGTCTAAGCTTAGATTAAAAAAATTAGCAACTGTTTCCACACTGCAGAGATCAGCACAGAAAAACCCCAAGTGTTCTGATCAGATTGCTTTCCTCCTTCTCTGTGAGCACAAATTGAAGATTAAACAACAAACCAAACCAAACAACTTTAAAGGGCATTTCTGGTGCTTCATGGAAAGCAGGAGCACACAGCTGAATTGAGGACCTCCAACTGGAGCAGAACAGTCACAACAATTCTGACTAATAGCTCCTCTAGTTAGTTAAATTTTCTAAAAATTTCAAGCAGTTGCTACTTTGTGAACAGGTATCTCACTGAAGCTCCGGATCTGATGCCTCTTCAAAGGTGATTTCTAAGGAAAACGTAGCTATTTTTGTCCCATAAGCATGAAAAGGGTGTTTTGGGAAAAAACCCCAAACCAAACAAAACAAAAAACCAAACACATGAAAAACCCTCCCCTGACTTAAGAGATGGAAGTCACTAGCTCTCTCAAACTAATTCCTGGACATTTAAGATGCATACACATAGTCTTTTGCAGGGAAGATTGCAAATCTACCTTCAAAGAGAAAGTTAATTTATTCATTACTTCATCTAAACAAAAAATGCTGTTGCTTGAGCTACTTTGGCAGTGAAAGGAAGGGATAAATAGTCAACAGCATTATGATAGCCTAGAGGAATCTTGTGGAGCCAAACTGGAGAAATGTGTAGGTCAATAATGTATATTGATAACCAAGCATCGAGATCACATTTAAAAGCTGGTGCAGTAAGCATCATGCTGGTAAGCTTCCATGGCATTCTGCACAAAATATGCTTAAAGACATCATTTTCTGAACTTCAGTAATGACTGTAGGCATGTGACTCCAGTCTATTTTCTTTGAACAAAAGGCAGGTCATTATTATTACAAAAACTAAGTCTTAATTGTTAAACAATTAGTACCTAGTAGCTGATTTATCATTAAAACAAACAGAAGGTGTAAGTTGGAAAAAATACACTAGTTTCATGTTGTTAATCAGGTTGGTAAATGCTGAAAATTTGAAACAGCAGTAAATATTCACATTAATTATTTACTTATAAGTAGACAGAACCAGGTGCAGTTATGTAACGTACAGAAAGAAATATTTTCCTTAGCTTCTGGCTGAATAACATTTCCACATGCACATGCCATTACAGAAATAGAATACTTCACCTTGTTCACTAAAAGTAATGGCAGTAAAATAAATATAGTTGCTCTACTTAAGTACTGTACTAATCAGAGATTGCAAAAATTTACACTGCATGATTTTAACCATCTCTAGAACACAAACATACACATTTAAGAAAGGCAGAAATGTAAATGTAATCCCATAATATGCTATGGACATGCATATTTAGGTAAGAATTTCAGAAAATACATAAAAAGGTATAAATGCTAGCATTAGGAATGTATTCCATGGTATGTTTTAATAAAAATTGAAAGGTATCTGCATTGCAGTAATCTCTCCCCTAAGCATGTCACAAATACTTTATAAAATGTTTTCTTAAAGTTTGGAAATATTGTATAACCAGGCTTTTTGTATATAATTCTACTTCAGATTGTCTGAAGGGCAGCTACTGCAAGTAATTGCAGTGCTCCCCCAGGAAATAATGCACTAAAATACAATGAGAAACAGTACATAGAAAATCAAAATGAAAATGACCCTCCTTCCAGCCCTTCATCCACAACTTACACACTTTTCCTTCTTTTTCCAACTTCCTCAAGTGGACAAGGAGGTTATTTTCTGCTGCTAGAAGTAAATTCTCAGGGATCTCCTAATGGGAACACAAACAGGCATTTTGTATTTATTTAAATATCTCCCAATTATTTTTTCAATATACAGAACTCATGGTTTATTAACATAGATTTTCCTCTTCTGAATTGCTATGTTGAACATTCAAGTTATATAATGACAACAAACTGAAATGAGAAAAATCAATTTTACACCAGCTAAAGTAGTTTGTTTCCTTTGTTCATTTTTTACATTATCCATTTGTGTTATGCAAACTTTGGCCAACAATAAGAAGACTGTGTTCTTTGAGCTTGGTCTGCACTGGGTTGTCAGGGTAGCTGAGCATTTTTAAAGACAAATTTAAAGATGCTTTCCTCCACAGATACTTATCACTTGTATTCCATGACAATATTTGCATTGGTTTAAATAACCTTTAACAATTAGTATCTGTAAATGAGTAAACAAGTTAAAAATACAACAGCTTCTGGAGGACAAAATGCCTCTTAAAATTTTGCAATGCTCACTAGGTAAAAACCAGTAACATTTCTCAAAATCCCCATCTCCAGCTCTATCATCCTAAAAGTAAAGCCTTCTTTTTGAAAATTAAAAAGTTCTTCTCCAAGTAACACGAGTCAGGCAGGAAAATTCACTAGAAAACTAGATCAATAAATTCTGAATCTTTAAAAAGCTCTGAAAGATTACACTTTTTTTTTTTTTAAATATGAAAGCTTTAGTAGGACTGAAAAAATTCTTATCACATAGCGACAAGGTAAGTGATTTACAGAATTTGTGAATGTGATTCACAATTTGTGTCACATTTGTGAATGTGACGGGTTTGTGATTTACAGAAACGTGAATGGCTGTATACTTAAAACCTGTAGCTGTTCAGGCAGGAAATCTGCAGGAGCTAAACAGCCACAGGTAATGGTACATCAGCACTGCAAACTGTTCAATGTGACATAGTCATTCTTTTGGAAACTGAGGATCAGCAGAACCATGAAAAATGAGTTGTGAAGCTGTTACAGAACTGTTCACAAACCACAGCCACTGGCAACTTTGACATCTTCATCTGAAGCAAGTGCTGTATATTTTTTACCTCTATTGGCTAGGAGGGGTAATCCTCATACCACATCTACCAACTACTGAGGTTACATGAAGAATGATGAAGTAGTGAAAAAGTACCCTTACGCCTGCATAATGACACATCCAAGCTACCCAACTTCTGAGCACAATATTCACCTCTGTGAAACTGCAGTTCACCTGCACCCTCCTGCAGACTGATAAATCAGGAACTAGAAATTTTAACCAATCTTTCAGGAGACTCCAAACACATTTTGGCAAATCAAAAAATTAACAGTCATGTCATACTTTTCACTTAGAACCAAGCACTAAAACTTTATTTTTGCTTGGTCCTATGATACCGTGCTTAGGATCATCTAGATAGTAAATAAGTTCATAAGAATCATCTGGGCCCCACTCCAATGAAGTGCTCAAAAATACAATTTAAATGCACAATCATATATGAATTCTGAACAAGCAAAAATAGGTTTTTTCTCTTTTAAAAAGCCACCATGGTCTTTAGTCAGATACTTAAATTGTTACATACAATTTTATAAACATAACCTCAATTTTCTTTAGTTTGATCTAAAAAACTTTTAATCAATAATTACCTTGTATACTATCTTTACAAGCTCCGAGGATGTATATGATTTTCCAGCATTCTTCTGGAAAACATTTAGAATTTGCTGTTCACGTGCCATTCGGTGAGAAATGTAGCCTTGGATTCTAGCATTTGCATCACGTACTACTGGGCCATGACCTAAATCAAAACACATGTACCACAACGCTATTACTTAAATTTGGAATTAAGTATGCCACTGAATAATGGAATCATTCTTATGTAAACTCTGGTTTAAAAGTCATAAGAAGGGAGCAACACCTGTACGTACCACCCTGTCAGAGTATCCTCGATGTTAAATTCTAAGACAATTTAAATTGTTTGCCTGCTTTTTTGGTTGTAGTTTTTTGTTTTGTTTTTTCCTCCACATAAATAGGCCAAAATTAAGTTTGAATGTCTGCATCATAGTCTGCAATTCATCATTAAGATGGAAAGGAAGAATTAGGATCTGAAAAGTCTGAATGGGTAAAAGGAAGGCATAAGGAAAGCAAGGAAAGCCTACTTTAGGCTATTAAAAAAAAAAAAAAAAAAGGAAAGGAGTTCACTGCTGATCAGATTTGAAAGATGAGATTCATGTCATTGTATTAGCTCTGTCTGCCTGTCTCCCTCTCCCCAAAGGATACTGATGATTTAAACTGATACTGGTCTGTGAACAGTAGTGGCTGAGGCAAAGGACTTGTGTACTACTGTCCTGTGGTGGGGCCATCTAGCAAACACAGAGGCAAGAGAAGTAACATCTTTAATTGTGACAGATAAATATTCCAGGAGACATCTTCAAAACTGACTCACACACTGTACTTTATTCCCTTAAGAACATACTTTTATAAGTATGATCAAAAAATCAATAGAAGACAAATCAGTGAGCCAATCAGAATGTTTCAGGGCAGGAATAAGCAATGCACAAGGAAGATTCTATGTGGATCATTTTATATCTGGCTGGTTAATAAACAAAACAAATATGTTTTTTCCTTGACTTACTGCGGTAGATCAGAAACGCTCAACTTACTCAAAGGTCTTTGAATCAAATTAGAAACAGGCTTAATTGGTAAAGCACTAACCTTTGTTGAAAAATCAAATACTGCCTCATGATATGCTAAAATGACAGATGAAACTATTTTTCACACATGAGAGTTACATGCACAGAAATTAATGTTTTACCTATACAGACATTTACATGCACGAATATTTGTCAGATGCAAGGTTTCCTATTTCTTTGCCTGTATACCTCAGTGAAATAAAAGCAGCAACTTCCAGCTCTGCCAGTCTAAACTCCAAGTAATTTATAAAATGAGTAGAACAGAAATACTGTAAAAAAACCATAGTTTTCTTTTAGAAGTTATTTGGTATCACCCAAATCAGACAGTTTCTTTTGAGGTTCTCTATTTTAAAAAAATCATCATATTCTTTACTTGTACTTTTGGGTTAACTGACTAAATGGGTTTTTAGTTTTAAGGCTTTTTAAATTAGATCTTATTTTGCCTGAGGCCAGGCAACTTCTAGAAAAAGAGCAACTAATTTTTCATGTTTTGAATATCTGTGAAATAAAAAAGTGTCAAAGGAATCTATCCTTCAGCATGTCAAAATATTTCTCAGTATCTCAAATTATACACTCGCTTCAGCAGATTTGAAATTCCTAAATATACATTGACATTTATCTTGTGTAAAGATAGTATTATAAATAAAAGATATGTAGCATGTAAATATAAAACTATACTGTCATATGCATATATATTTAATGTTTTCAAACATATTTAATCTCCGGCTATTGTTCTTTACAAAATAAATTACAGATATAACAGTATCTCTAGTATGTTACCATTTATAAAAACAAAAGTTTAAATTTAGAAAAAACACATTAAGATATACAGAGCAGACACTATAATGGTAACTGTCCATTCTCTTGCATTCTCTAATGACAGAAGTCACATTAAAGTATTCAAAATTAAGGCCTGCACATCGACTCACAGGGCAGTCTTAAAACCAGTCCCTGTTCTTCCAAGTGATTTAACTGACTGAGACTACAAGACCAATGTCAGTACCTGGAATGGAACCTACACATTGCCAAGTTAAAGGCTTTTCATATCCATTACATCATCTGATCCATAGCCATTGTGTATGCATATACCTACATTAAAAATGATGTCAGAAAGCTTGGAACTAAATCCATATGTAAGTCTTTCCCATCTGTAATTTTTCAGGGACAGCAAAACAGTTAACTTTAAATTAATATCTGCATAAATGTAAAATGTTTCTAAGCATGTGAAATAGATCTCTCAAAGTATGACTATCTTTCCAACAATTCAGACTTTTTATCAGACAGCTTCATATTATTTCAGACCTCTGTATAGCCCAGATGATCAGAAACAGTAAGTTTTTATTCTCATAACACCCTGTGAAGTACTATAGATTCTTTTACTTTACAGTAAATTAAAGCACCGAGGATAAAACTGAAGAAAATAATTGGCTCATGAAACCTCGCACAGGTCCCTGACTCCGGTACCATTTTTCCCGTATTGCCAAGGCACGTCGTCCGTTATTACAGGATGGGGAGCCCTCTGCTGGCTGAAACGCCCTCTTCTGGTCCCAGGGACCCTCATACACTATCAGCTGTAAACTGACTGTCGCCAATATTCCGCCTGAAGGCATTTCCACGTTAAATTAAAAAAGAAACATGGAAGGGGAAGGATTGGCAAAATTCAGCTACTCACACCTAGACAGCAGTCAGCTTGTTATTTAAAAAAAAAAAAAAATATCAAAATCATTCTCCCCTACATCTAATTCTGAGGCTGCAGTGTGAACGCTAAAGCACTCTGGGGAACAGAGAAACAGTTCAAGAATTATGAAGACCTAAAACTGCAACAGACTCAAAGTACTGAACGTACATAGAAGTACATACCAATAGTATGAACAATTGTTCTGACTGGGCAATAGTTACCTTTCACACAATTGCACATACATTTCGTGATGCATGGACAGAAAAAGAAAGTTAGTTCCAAACCATCTCAATACTTAGCTACTCATCCCTGAAAATGCGTAATATCCAACTAGCTTCCTAACTGCAAGTACAGCAGGAATGTACTTACAACAGTGCAGCGGTACAGATAAATATTCAACCTTGGTGAATGTGTAATCTAGATAAATAATGATTAAGGACAGAGCGAAATACAAAAGATAAAATTGATAAACCCAATAGAATCTGACATATATGGGGTTTTGTAAGGCAGAAATTCAATTAGAGGAACAGACTGTGGTTTGTAGGTATTTAAGAAAGAAAGTAGAGCATTTGATTGAACAATAGATTGAGTTTCTGGAGGTTAAAATATTCTTGGTTTTACCAGTAGTTAAGTCAATAACTATGAGCAAGTTGCTATTTCTGTCTATGTCAGCCTTTACATCCACGGAATATCTATAATGGTATTTTTCTTAAACAGCATTTTTATGCTTAGATCTTAAAGCACTTAAAGAACAACCTACTTCAAAAGGAGCCTATTTTAAGAATGAAATCAAAAGAGATTTGGTTATGTAGCCTAAACATAGATGATTAATGGAGGAAGACAGAACTGAGAATGCAGGCACAGTCACTCACAATGACAAGTTGAAAATGATGAAACAGAAAGTCAGAAAAAATCCTGAGATGTAGCTCTGAAAAAGCAAATGAAGAGCTTAAACCTTAGTTACATAATGAATTCTTAAAATCCAGTCTTGTCAAATAGACACATGGTTTATATGAAAAGTAAATGCATTCCCAAAGTGTGGGGGAAATAGAAGAAAAAAAATAAAGCAAAGTCATAGACTGAATGAATCAGCAACTTATTTTTAGAACATGGTGTTTGGCCTCTTGGCTCTTGTTCAAGTTTAAGCTAAGTCATTAACTAAGACAACCATTTGACAGTTCTGCAGCTTTCCAAGATGAATTTGTGATTAATCTGTGCTGCAAAGGACAGGCATCTCAAAAAACATTACTAGGTTACTCACATTGGCAGCGTATGCGGGGATGTAAAGGATCAAAAGAACAACTATTATTTTTTCTTCCAGGGTAACATTAAGGCACATGAGTAAAGTAATAACCAAATTTGCTGTATGATTCCAACAGTTAAAGATTCTGGCCTCTGTAGGCTTTGGGCACAGAAGCACAAGATTCACCCTCAAATGGAGAAATCTCAGGAAGGAAAGATACCTACCTCTGAAAAATTTTCAAGTCTTGCAAACCATCATGCCATAAAGTCAGCTTAGCTTAGCACTGGACATATATTAAGCAATGAACTTGAATTGTTACATTAATAATGGCATTTGATTGTAATAAGAGTTCTCACATTCTCAGAGGAGATATTTAAAAATTATATAGTAAAACAGAGTAGTTAAAAATAGAACCACTTACCTGGATATATTAAATCTAGTTTCATTTGTAACAACCTTTTCAAAGTTTTCATGTAATCATACAGGTCTTCAATTACTGTTGTTCCTTCCCCTAAAATACAGTCACCAGTAAATACAGCATTTTCTTCTTCTAGATGTAAAGACATATGATCATCAGTGTGTCCAGGTGTATATAAAACTCTGTTTAAAGAACAACAAAAATGCATAAATTTTTCATACAGCATATATGCTTCGTTTTCAGAAGCTAGAAACAAATAATGATAAAATCATACACTTAACAAAGTAGCCCACAAGAAGAACCAGAAAAAAAAAAGAACAAAAGGAGGCTAAAATGTCGATGTAAACAGGGTATCACTTTGTCTAATCCCAGTCCATTTTCTTATACATGTAGAGAACACAGATCATCTCTAACATGCTTTTACTTACATGACACATCATAATAAAAGTGCATTAAGGGAGCTGGCTAGTCCTGTAGAATTTGTGCTATAGAGGGCTTTAAAAAAGAAAAAATCGACATGTTATTTCCAGATTGAAACGCATGAAGTTCTTGACACACGTTGCACTTAGCGAGAGGGTGAGGATGATGTTGCCAACTCTTTTAGAAATTAACTATAAACTTCTGAGCCCAACCCAGATAAAGTTCTGTCTCCTGAAACATGTTTTTCCTTGAAAGCCCCATGACACAGTGGAGTGGAGCTGTCAAATACAACAAGGAATTATGTTCTTTTAGCTGTGCTATGTGCAGGTCATTAGCCATCTGAATTGCAAGGATTTAGGACCCCACAGCTTGAATCAGTACTGCATGAGAATGCAGCAAAGTATGAACAGACAGTTGATACGTATATAATAAACTGAGCTGCTACAGAGCTGCACTGCAGTGTCCTTTCAGTACAACTTTTGAAAGGCAGAAGGCCTCATGCTGAGGCTGATACAAACTGAAAGTACACAACTCAGACCAGCATCACTGCTGAAATTTCATCAAAATCTTCTTGTTCATGGCAGATGCATCAAAGCAGCGATCAGGAACCGACAGAGCTCGTGTCAAGCGTGGTGTACAGGCCAATGATAAACAGCACCCAGCCACATTAGTGCAGGGCCAAGAGGCCAGAAGCACAGCACCATCTGACGCAGTGACTTCCAGCTCTTACTGAATACTCAGTTCAGCAGAAAGCAGGTGAGCCATTGCCCTGCAGAGGCAACATAAAAATCAAGCTGATGGGTGGCATCTTGCCTTTGTAGGATGTGGTATCCTCCAGTTCCTCATGAAACTTTACCAGGAAGCTTAACCATTAACATGGAAAAACAGAGGAAAAACAACCCAACACTGCCTGGCAGACTTTGAAAACTTGAAGGTTGCTGAAAAAAATTTAACATGCACATACTGCTCTCTTGGAACCAGGGGCGGATCTAAGAGTATCCTTAAAGTGCTCACTGAATTAACCAGGTAAGAATACCTGCTTTTAACCAAGCACAAAGTTTGGCTGCATTACCCCAAACTTCAAAATGTGCCACCCCTGTCTTATTTAACAAGTTGCTCTTCATTTCTAAATTGATTTTGTCCAAACATGGTCCACTTAGTGTAGTGATAGGTCTTCAATACTCAATATAATACTTTCCATGTATTTTTCTTTTTACACAAACAAAATAAAATGCTTTTGGTCAAACACGTCCTTTATTTTTACGTTTTTTTCTTTCAGGCAGCCAGCGGCATATTCTACAACTGAGGAAAACAAGGAGAGTAATGCCTTGTTAATGAAAGAACTCTGGAAACAGAATGGTGGGGGGAGGGTGGGGGTGTGTGTTTGTGTGTGTCTCAGAGTGGCTTTCTGTTTCAGACTGATTCACGCTAACACATCAGACAATATGCTCTCTGGGAAGAAGCCCTCCCAAACTGGCACCCTACAAGAACCTGACAGATTAAAAGTTTAAAATTTAACAGTTTAAGTATTAAACGTTTTAGTGCCTCCTTGGGAAATATTTTTTAAAGTAAATAGAAAGGCATCTAAAGAATCCATCCAGACTACCATAAACTTCCCCAAAAGTATCAATTTTAATAATGAACTATTTATCTAAGAATGATGAGAAAGTATGTAAAATCCTATTTGATTTTCCCAAAGGGAGTATTTTTCAAGGGAAGTGTTCTTCTTTTCTCTGCTGAGGCCAAAACCCAAAGGCTAATTCCTGATAATCCTCATTCATAAAGACAATTTCTTCATATAAACACACCCTGCTGGATCATGATAGGAAGCCTACATGCGTAAGTGTTGAAAAGATTAGATGCATAGATTGCCAAGCATTAGAAATTAGGATACATATATGTGTCAGATTTCTGGAGAAAAAAGTGATCCAGCAAACTTGCAGAAATTGGTGTTTACCTGAGTGTGGCTCCCTCTGTCTGTATCACATCTCCCTCTTTGAGATAAAAGTATTTATGTCCTCCTTCTATTATTTCTTCACGGTCAGGGACACGAGGAAGCTTACTGATGCGATATTCAGAGTCTATTTACAGGAAGCAAAGCAAATGACATTTTGAATTTTCACTAGCAAATATAATTCCACAGAAAGCTACTTTTTGAACAAGTACTATGAATTATTACACAGTACAAATACAAAACTAGAAACAAGAAATTATGTACAGTAACTTTATGTGTATAAAGCAACCTTATTCCAGAGCCACCAACACTGAATAGTGAAAGCCACTGAATCTGAATACCGTACTCTGTACCAGCAGCAATTCTGAAGATGAAAAAGCACAAGTGAAATTAATAAAAAAATGACAGTAATTGTTGTAGTTTATAAATGTTCCTTCTTGACTTATCAAGAGCCCAAACCCCCAGGTTTCTACAATAACACTATGATTTCTGCACTCGTGTTCTGCATTATGATTCACAGAAGCACCATTCAACATTTGCCTAACATTGGATGGAAGCTTTTTGACCTGCAACCGCCCTCAGCTTCTATCGTTCTGAACTGTGCATGAACGGTGAATGCCTTGACTGTAACAGCTATGGATACATAGCAACCCAGAAAGGTATTTATATATCGTTGCTAGTCTTACCACCATGCTCACAGGTTGACAAGACCAAAATCCTCACAAAGACACCAATGTTATTTTCAGTAGTTCCCAGGTTTCTTTACAGATAAGCACCTGGCAACTTTATAAAATAGTGCACATAAGCCTGTGACAAAGCCCAATGATGCTAAGAAGAACTGCATGATCTGTACTGCTTAGTCTCTTCCCAGATGCTAAACCAGAAATGTCTCTTACAGTTTATCAACGTGAAATACACATTTTTAGATCAGAATTTACCTGCAGACTGCCCTACCCTCTTCCCCCTCATGATCTGAGGCCTCCGAATTTGTCAGCAATTACTAATGGTCTGCTGTAAGGCATCTCAAAGTTATGTATGTTTCTTTTTCAGACATTAAGTTATTTATTGTTTTTACACAAGTAAAAATAACGGTCAATTTGTCATTACTGCCAATGTAGAAATGAATGAGTATCAAGTTTTTCTTACATCTCTTAGTATCATGTAAACTGCTGATGGTAACCTAGGTTCTCATTATTCACACCTAAGAAAAATTTACTATGAAGGTACGAGCAGGTATTGAAGAAAAACTGTAGTACTACAACATTCGGATTTTTCATTGCTCTCATTCTACACACTGCAACAGTATAATGAAATTACATGTAGTTTATATGGACACTCCATAAGAATAATCCAGCTGATTTGCACAGAAGCACTCTGTAAAAGATTTTTCTTGCCGCATATCTAACATTTTCAACAATATCCAAAATCTCTGGCCTACCATTAGGGAAGTTTTTGCAGATATCAGGTATTCCACCAGTATGATCACGATGCCAGTGTGTCACTAAAATTTCTTGAATTGAGATGTTGAACTCAGACAGTGCCTGCTTTAGACAGCCAATATATTCAGGAGTAGCTGGCTCCCCAGTGTCAATAAGGACTCTTCTACACATGGGGGGGGAAAAAAAAAAAAAAGAGGAAAAAACCCTCTGAGAGAATTCAGAGTGCTCATATCACAGTTAAATAATGTTAAAAAAATAATCCAACATTGCATGGAAATGTGCTAATAATGGCTGTCTCCATATTCCAGACACCCTCTCTTCCCTCTGTGACATTCTACCCCCGTGGCATAAAAACTTACAAAGGAGGAGAAATAATAAATTTACTCCACACATTTGCAACTCCGGGACAAGACGAGGGAGCTCCGGTTCAGCGCCGCCGGGGAGCGGCCAGGCCTGGGGCGAGGCACCCACCCGGTTCCCTCACGGAACTCCCCGCCTTAGCCCAGCAGTCGCCTGGCCGAGGCTCCACACCCCACCTGCGCAAACCGCCTCCGGGCACTCGTCCCGAAAACTTAATGTTTAATCTTTTTTTTTTTTTTCCTCTCTCCTCTTTTTTACCCTAAATAAGGGATTTCAGAACAACCCGGTAGTCGCCTCTCGA